CTCCTCGCTTAGCCAGCTGCTTCAGGTGATGCTGCAGGCTCCTCAGCTTCTCAGCTAAAGCTAATAATGCGAACGGCTGTTATATTTACCAAATTCCAGCAGCGTCTGATGCTCGTAGATTAAGGCTTGACTGTAAGAGATGCACATATGAGACAAGTGACTTTCACATGTGAAACAACATTCACTGCTACTGTTAATCTACAAAAAGGTTTACTTAAGTATCCAAAATAGTTTCATTAGAAAAAAAGACATAAATACACTATAAAGTGATTTACAGGAACTGTTAGTATTCTTAATTATACCATTATATAATTTTTTAACTTCACTGGAAAGCTCAACACGCTTGGAGGAGAACACTAACTGCTAATTCTGTTAGATTAGACAACTGAAGCCAGTGTTGGCTAGCACTGTGCTGAGTGATGGTGAAGAGGAAAGACCATCCTACCCACCCAGACAGAGAGAGAAGACAATTATAATCTTCTTGGACTCCACTTGCTGTGGATCAAACTTAAAATCTCTCAAATGACAGGGTGAACGCTTAGCTATCTAGTCTATTTTATGGGTAACAAAGAACATCACAGAGTGTCGGGAACCACATAAGCAAGTCTAATGTAGATTACTTAACACACTGACACTGTTTGAGGCAAGTATGTAATGATTTAGGAATGCAGTTAGCTTGATGATAATTGGTAGGCTAAACTTCCCTTACTTGTTAGCTACATTAGATCCGTAGCTTCAACGCAAAACTAAAGAAGGAAACTTTAAACACCAAACGTGTCTTGAACGACTACGTTTGAGGTAAGGTGTGAAATGTGTAAATCTGATTTTTTGCCAAACTGTTCCTTTAAAGGCGGAGCCATGTGCACAGGCAGCCTCATCTCCATGTCTTTAACTTGGACCAGGTGCATCCTCAAAGATGCAAATGCTAACAGAGAGAAAGCCTGGATAAAACCCACTTGGACAGTTTGTGCAGCAGAAGAGAGGAGATTGGTAATGGCATGCAAGCACCCCAGGGATGGTGGGCACAGACATGCTTTCTAAGATTAGCTCTGACCATTCGGGTGTACACAGCCCTGCCACATTACCAACACGTGGCAACAAACTCTCACACGTACATTAGAAGCGCAACGATTACTCAATATATATGTATATATTTGACTAAAATTGACGACCAAATTAGTTGGCAATTTAGTTAGTAGTCGATCAGTTGGTGACGTTGTTACGTATCTTTCTCGCGCTTACTAGGAATGTTTTGATATTAGCGCTTAATGTTACTGGCGAGTTAACAACAGCACGATGGCAGAGGAAGGAAAGAAGGAAGGAAGCAAGGAAGGCAGAAAAACTGGAATGAAGGAAGACTTAAAGAAAGCAAGAAAGCAAGAAAGAAAGAAAGAAATGAAGGAAAACTAAAGGAGGAAGGGGGATGGACTGCAGAAATGCAGGAAGAAGGAAAGTAGAAAAACTGGAATGAAGGAAGACTGAAAGACTGAAAGAAAGACTGAAAGAAAGAACGAAAGCAAGAAAGAATGCATGTAAGAAACAAACAAAGAAATGAAGGAAGAACTAAACGAGGAAGGGGGATGGATGGCAGAAAGACAGAAAGAAGAAGGAAGGAAGGAAGGCAGAAAAACTGGAAACTGTTAGTTAGCAAATGCATAAAACAACCTCAAGCGAAACTTAAAAGCCAATATCTACATAAGAATCATTTGGTAATGAAATGATTTATAATCCGATTATTCGATTATAATCGATTATTCGTTTCGGTAATCGACAGATTATTTGACTATCAAATTAGTCGAGTTAGTTTGTTGCAGCCCTAATGTACATACAACCGCTTCCACACGCAGATCCAACAAAGTACAGGCGAAAACAAAAACCTGAGCACATGTTCAAACACCGATTCTAATCGCGCAGACAAAGCAAACCAACCACACTCGCGCTGTCTTCTCTCTCTTCCTGAGCCAGGTGACAACGCTGCAAACGCACTCAGTCAGACCGAGGGAGATGTTTTTGGCCAATCGACAGAGACAGGCTCAGTTATCAGATCACAGAGCAGCCGGGCCCCTTTATTCACCTTCTGCGTCCGTCACAAGACCAACATAGTCGCCCCGGAAAGGTGGAGGCCCGACCGGACTGACTCATCAAAGCAGTTCACTCTGTTTTCACGGCCAACAGAGCATAAACGTGTGAGAAAGCAGGATAAGGACGAGTGAAAAAGAAAAGAGGGTAAACAGCAAGGAGAAAGAAAGAAAGAGATGAAAGAGAAAACAAAGGAAGGTAGAATCTCAAGTGGCTTCCTAGACCCTGTAAACACTGGCTTAGGCTCAAATAATGCACTAGATATGCAATCTGGAGCCATTCGGGACTGAGAGAGAGAGAGCGAGAGAAGAAAGAAAGAAATGTGGCTCCCTGCGCCCTATATAGTGCACTAAGGTCACGAAAAATGGTTTTTACGTGTAAATAGGGCATTTTATGTCTAAAAGAGAGCAACTAAATGAAGGAAAGGAAGACTAAATCTCACTGGGCATCCTAATCCCTAAAATAAGAAATTAAAAAAATATTAAACAACAGCTTTTGCACCCAAACAGTGTCTCAATTTGCTCCTTACTTTATATATAGGGCACTTCTGAAGGTCATAATTGTGCACTATAAGGTTAAAACTGAGCCATTTGGGATTCAAAGAAAGAAAGATAGAAAGATGGACAGACAGACGGACAGACAGACGGACAGACAGACAGACAGTATCGCTGCCTGCATCTCTAATTAATCCCTCCCCCAGTGTAAGTGTACTAGGTCATGTAATAACAGTACTAATGGTAGAAAAAGGCAGAAAGACAGGAAGGAGGACAGAAAGAAAGAAAGAAAGAAGTATGGAAGGAGGGAAGGATAGAAGGAAGGAAGGCATAAAAACTGGAATGAAGGAAGACTGAAAGACTGAAAGAAAGACTGAAAGACTAAAAGAAAGACTGAATAAAGAACGAAAACAAGAAAGAAAGAAAGAAAGAAAGAAAGAAAGAAAGAAATGAAGGAAGAACTAAGGGAGGAAGGGGGATGAATGGCAGAAAGACAATAAGAAGAAGGAAGGAAGAAGGAAAGGGAGAAAAACTGGAATGAAGGAAGACTGAAAGAAAGACTGAAAGAAAGAACGAAAGAAAGAACAAAAGCAAGAAAACAAGAAAGAAAGAACTAAAGGAGGAGGGGATGGATGGCAGAAAGACAAAGAAGAAAGAAGAGAGGGAGAGAGAGAGACAGACAGAGAGAGAGAGAGACAGTCATACAGAGAGAGAGAAAGAGAGAGAGAGACAGTCAGACAGAGAGAGAGATGGAGAGAGAGTCAGACAGAGAGAGAGAGAGGGAGAGAGAGAGAGAGAGACAGACAGAGAGAGAGAGGGAGAGAGAGAGCGAGAGAGAGAGAGAGACAGTCAGACAGAGAGAGAGAGAGAGAGAGATAGACCATGAGACAGAGAGAGAGAGAGAGAGAGAGAGAGAGAGAGAGAGGGAGAGACAGACACAGAGGGAGAGAGACAGTCAGACAGAGAGAGACAGACAGAGAGAGACAGAGGTATGTTGTGTTCCTGAATCGGCTCAACACGCTCATCAACATGTAATATTCAGTGCACACTCCGACCTTTGTAGCTTGGCCACCTCTCTCTCCTCGCGCATCAGTTGCACGGCCTCGCTTAGAAAGGGCCGCGCGGCGTGGGAGAGCTGCGTCGTGATGCACGCTGACTTCCTGTCCGCTCGCGCTTGTACTTCCCACCTGGCGCGATTAGGGCGCGAGAGCGCGCTCCCTCCGCAAGCAGCACGGTGCAGATGGCCCCGCGAGCTCGCACCGACTAACCAGACTGAAGTTAGGCTGGCTTTTGAATTCGAATTGTCCGTTCCACCTTAAATGGTGCAGCAGTTACACGTTAATAACGCACCATTTAAGGTTACATGTAACTACTGATACACGTAACCGCTACACCATTTAAGGTGGAACGGACGATTCTAACAAGAAAGCCAGCCAACAGCCGGAGCCCCGAAAGGCTTTTCGGTTCACGCCGTGTTTCTCATGAATGAAGCTCGTGCGTGTCTCTTTAAGAGCGTGAATGAGGCTCGCGTGCTCACATCCGTGCACATCAGCCAAGGTCGTCGAGCGCTTATGCTAATTGTGTGCACAATTCGTGGTTTATGAAGCTTATGGTACCTCACATCCCCCTCTAACCCCTACTCCTATCCCTAACAGGATTAGGCAGAAAAGCCCCTTTGCAGCGACCCCCACCCCCTCCTGAAGCCCCTCCGCTTCAGCAACACAGTGCAGGATAACCAGCTTGTTTATGGAAGTATGCATCGCACACGCTTAAAGAGAGGGTCCTCCAAGGGTTCTTTAGTAAAGAGAATGGTTCTATGTAGAACCATGAGTTCTATACAGAACCATTTGCATGCCTCAAGGGTTCTTTGCATGGTGAAATGGTTCTTTAGGCTGATGGAGAATGTGCTGTATATGGTTATATATAGCACCTAAAATGATTGTTCTATTGTATACAAACTGGACACTGTAACAATATAAGAACCCTTTTAGGTGCTATATAGAACCATTTTCAAAAAGGTTCCATGTAGAACTATTTACACCAGATATTATCTGAAGAACCATTTCACCATGCAGAGAGCATGCAAATGGCTCCATACAGAAGTCATGGTTCTACACAGAACCACTGCCTTTGCTAAAGAGCCCTTAAAGAACCCTCTTTTTAAGAGTGCAGGCCAGATGAGCAGATGTACAGCACCTTTGGGTGGTGGACCGTTCTAAGCACATCAGTGACACTGACACGGTGCGAGGACATCAGGCACGGTGGCGCTGTTTTGGGGGGCTGACGCACGTAAAGTGGACCACCACCCCGCCAAGAGCGATTCTACGGTCAGAAACTGACCACCGATGAAGGGCTACAGAGGATGGCTGACACGGAGAGTCCATGGCAGTGCTCTGAAAGAGAGGCTGCGCGCGCCCCGGTGCTCACCTCTCACATCCGAGTCAGTGCATGACGCCGTCGGTGGATGGACGCGGTCACGGCCCGGTGCAGCTGTCGGTGTCCGTCAGTGAAGCATGTTTAGTCCAGCAGCGTGGAGAGCGACTTCAATAAAAACAGCAGCAGCAGCACTGGTCTGCTTTTCTACACGAGCTTCATGTCCGTCTGTCTCTGTGCGCGCGCTGCAGCACACAGGGGGCGCCCGCGGACTCACATTCGACTCAGTTCTGTCTTAAAGGGGCCGCGCGGGCGGGGTGAGCTCAGGTAAGGTGGGACACTGAAGCTTAAAGGGCTCATATCCTATATATTTTTAGTATCTTGCATTTTTTATGTAAATGACCTCTGTTCTGACTGGCTGCCCTGTACTGCCCCTCATTCAAAAAGCAGGCCACCTCCTTGTATCTACACTCAGCCTCCATTTTATCAGCTCCACTGACCACATAGGAGCACTTTGTAGTTCTACAGTTACAGACTGTAGTCCATCTGTTTCTCTGCATACTTTGTTACCCTGTTCTTCAGTGGTCAGGACCCCCACAGGACCACCACAGAACAGGTATTATTTGTGGTGGATCATTCTCAGCACTGCAGTGACACTGACATGGTGGTGGTGTGTTAGTGTGTGTTGAGCTGGTATGAGTGGATCAGACACAGCAGTGCTGCTGGAGTTTTTAATCACTGTGTCCACTCACTGTCCACTCTATTAGACACTTCTACCTTGTCAGTCCACCTTGTCAGAGACGATAGCTCATCTTGTACGAATTTTCCTGTTCCACCTTAAGGCTACATTCACATTACCAGTGGCACAAATCAGATTTTTTTGCCCTAATGTGACTCAGATCTGATGTTTTCAGGACTGTGTGGACACGCAAATCTGATCTTTTCAAATCTGACCTGAGTCACTTTCATATGTGGTTCTAGATCGGACTCATGGCCATCTGACCTTAATGTGATGCTCAGATTCATGTGCTTTTTTTCCACTGCGCGTGCGCCATCATTCAGCGTTACCATGGCAGCAGCGCCAAACAGAAGTTAAAGCCTGTAAACAGTGGAAAAGCAACACATCTCACGGATTTTCCAGTGTTTTCTTTGTGACTCGATTTCAGTTACTTAAGTAAATCTGCAGACACACCTCCAAAGTTCAGTGTTAGAAGTTGGTTGATCATTTTCTGAAGTAAGCAAACACATTCAGTGGTGCTGAGGTCTGGACTCTGGGGTGGTCAGTCCATTGTTCAGCTTCTTTGTTTGGTGTGTCCGTCTCCTTTTCTCAGTGAGGTTCTTCTTGACAGCTACACATCCTTTCAGACTCATAGCGCTGAGTCGTCTTCTCACAGTGGAAGAATGGAGAGAAACACCTGTGGATGTTTTCAGATCTGAAGCAGCTTGATTTTCTCCTCTCTCTCAAAGATGAAAGCTTTAAGTGCTGTTTATCTGATGGGGGCAGGTTTGGGGTCTACCAGGCCTTCCAGGTGGTTGTTAGGAGGCACATTTTCTCTGAGACATTTAATCATTTTTTGAACTCCAGATTTCCAGGTCAGTCCTCACATCAGACCCCTCCGCATGCTGAATACCTGCATGCTGAAAGCATTTGTGGACCATTTGGGGGTCCAGGAATGGAGTGGGAAACACTGTAATATACTATAAACACAGCGTCCAGGATCTTCTCGGATCAGCGCCCGGGCAACGGCCAGGAAACTCATCAGTCGGTTGTAGGCGCTTCTGTAAGAGGAGCTTGGGAGGATTTGGGCTCGGGATTAATCTGAATCTAGATGCGACTCTCCATGCACCGTCTCTTGTCTCGACCAAGCCTTATATCCAAGATAAATAATTCCGAAATCAGCAAATAAGCAGGAAAATCCCACCACAGCCAAAAACTGAGGCAAAAGGATTAATCGGAATAAATCATATTGCTTAGAAACATTTTGTGCCATATGCTTTGTGAGAGAACTGAATGTAAAGGGTTTACAAGAGCACAAAGACTTACTGGAAATACAGGCAGGACTGTGCAAAGTCCACTTTAATGCATCCTACAGACTATTCATACTCCTTATTTTAGGCTTTAGCCCTATTCAGAGTGGATTAATCCACCAGGGGGGCGTCTGTGATACACTTTTTACACGTCTCCTCAGTAATGAAACTCTCACGTCCAGATGGTAATAACATTACAGCAGGATGAGTGAGTTTCTAGTGGGCTGTATTTTCTATGAACCAGGAGGTTTGTGCTGCATGTGGCCATGTCAGCATTTAACATTAGAAGGAACCAACACTGATACAACTGGTCAGTATTTATAGAAAACTAAAAGATGATGGTATTATTCATATGTGTATATAAAGTAATGCTTCATATCTGTAGCTGTCATTATAATTATCCCTTTATCAGTCTGTCAGAGGTCACTTTTCTGATTAACCTTGCTTTCCTTCTCCTCCTGCTAAAGCTGTTCCTGTGATGGAGACACAGTTTTACCACCTGGACTGAGAAAAGAATTAAGAGGTTCTTCCAAACCATCCAGTATTTTGATATGGACACATACCAGGAGACTAAATACATCATCGTTAAAAAAAAAACAAAAAACTTTTTTTTCAAAACAAAGGTAAAAAAAAAGGTACAACCACATGGAAAATCATGGAAATGTGCTTCCAGATGGCACTAAAATTATCAGTCTGCAGTACAGGATATAAATGATAATGATTAAATGGATAGTGGTTATAAAAATAATAACATTTTAGTGCACCTATCTGCAGTTTCTGGTGGATGCACATATTTTACCAGCCACTTTTCATCAATAAATACACATTTGTTTATCATACTACTACTACTATTACTGCTACTACAACTCTGTTTCCAAAAAGTTGGGATGCTGCGCAAAATGTAAATAAAAACAGAATGCAATGATGTGCAAATCATTTAAGCCTATATTTAATAGTACAAAGACAACATGTCAAATGTTGAAACTAAAATCAACTAAAAATTTCATTGTTTTTTTGATGAATTTGACACACCGTCCCAATTTTTTTTGTAAACAGGGTTGTACTACTACTACTAGTAATAGTAGTAGTGATAATAATAATAATAATAATAATAATAATAATAATAATAATAATAATAAAACCTGCTAAATTAAAGGTGCAGTAAGCAGTTCTGGAGAAAGATTGTTGATATTTCAACTTAACATCAAAACGAATACACTCCTCCCTTCAGTGCTCCTTCAGAAGCTCTGCCATGGTAAACATCACAGGGCTGGATGATTTGTTTTTTAGATCTTCGTGGCCATGAAACTCTTCGCAAACTTTGTATGTTATGTAGTTAGAGTGAACAGCGATGCGGCAAGCAGTGTAACTAATGTTAGCTAGGTTGCTGGTTATCAAACTGTCACTACAACGGCAAAGTTAACCAGGGATTAGCCATCACAAACATTAGCAAATGAGACAAAACAATACTGACCTACTGATTCTGTGATACAGCAAAAATAATTTAACTTTAAGCAGAAACAGAACAACCTCCTCATCCCTTTTCAGACCTTTCAAGCTGAAGTAGGCACCAGAGTGTAACCGCTGCACCATTTAAGGTGGAACAGAAAAATCTGAAGAAGAAGCTGGTGAATAGGAAGCTGACTTCAGCCTCATCAACTCTCGGAGGTCTCTCCACTGATGTTAACATGGCTCATTGCACCTGCCTTATCTAAGCACTTCTTTCTTAAGCTTTTTTCTTCAGATCTTCTCCTCTTTGGCTGTTTCTTGGCCATCTCAACATGTAGCATGTGCCAGATATACAGTCTCCCCTGCCCCTCCTTTTCCCTTTCCTGTTTACAGATCCAGGGCTGTGTAAAAACTGGATTTGTTTCCAGTGTGCATACAGAATGGACAGCTAGTGGACTGTAAGAAGATAACCAACCGCTGAATTTGACAAAAAGTGTATTGGATTAAAATCACTTACTACACCTTTAATAAAATAAAAAAGACCTATATATGTGTTCGTTATGGGATTATTAGGTAATTCAGTCTGGGGAGGTGGGAGAAAAACACTGACATGGCTGATCCTGACTGATACTTATCCACTGCTATGTGATGTCTACAGTTTGCTGCAGTTTCACAGATTACAGCATAAAGTGGAACAAATTTAGTATTTTCTACTGAGAGTGTAAAAATATGAGCATTTTCTAGCTGCTAGCATAGGCTAATTGTGCTAGCATTAAAACTTGTGAGTTAGCTAATGTTACACTGGAGCTCTTTGCAAAGTGGTCACTGTAAAATATAACATTGGACATTTTAGAATGAAATTCCAGTTTACATTCTGGTGCACTTAGTGATACTCATGGCTTATGATTTTATCCTCACCTGAAAGACTAAAAAATTGTAAGACAGCTCAAGCTCAATTTTTTTTGGTTTTTATCGTACATTTAACAATGAAATCACTTCATTTTATTAAGTGTATACTGCCACATACTGTTGGTCTCAAACGATGCTTGCACATACATGTACTTTGGGTATCAGTCAGTCCCTCAGTTAGTCAGTGACTCAATTAAAGTCAGTGTCTCTCGTAGGTTGGCCAATCAAAAACAGTACATGATTCAGCCCACTGACATGGCCAATCCAGACGGAAAGAAAACCACAGAGTAGCACGGAAGTGACCTCAGGACAGACATTTAACCCTGTCTGTATCTGGCCAGACTGTTTGGTCGAATATGAGGAACGGTATATGACATTTTAGAACTGTGGGCCTCCATCTGTGTTAAGTCCCTGAATATCTCCAGCTGTTGCATAGGTGTATGGATATGCAGAGTCTACATTTAAACCATATTCAAGTTTGTGAGTAGAAGAAGAGATTTGAAGTTAATGTAAAAAGTTTTTGTAAAATTTCTGTCATTTTTTTCTACATTAAAACAAACAAATATTCTATGTACAGTTTTTTGGCATTTTGGCCCCCTGGTCAGTGCATTTTTTAATATTTTCTAAGTGAAAATAAAATAATACACCTGCTACAGGGAACAATGTGCAAAAATAGCAAAACATTTTATATTCTAATTAAATCGAGTATTAAATTATGCAGAAGTGCATTCTCTGTAAAGGACTTGTTTATATATTTACACTTAGAAAATCAACAAAACATCAACGACTGGGGCGCTCAAACTTTTGCATACTACTGTAGCTATCGACAGTCATAACTGGCAGCTTCCAAGGGTTAAA